TGTTTAAAGCTTCTTTAATACTGTAAACAGGCTATTATACTGTAAACAGGCAATAATACTGTAAACATGCAATAATATTGTAAACAGGCAGTGATATGGTAAACAGGCAGTAATACTGTAAACATGCCAATACTGTTGACCAACTCTCCTTTGCATGAGACATGTTTGCCAGTGAGCAAGGATGGAGAAATCAAAAACTTTGTCACAGAGGACAAGATAATTTCTGTAACAGTCTTCTTAGTTGTTCCATTAACTTAAAGGGTAGTAACTCTGCTACACAATACTTGGTAATTATTATTGGTGAGGGACTTATCTTCTGAGGTGTGATTATGAAGCTGGCACCCCAGTCAGCAAGAAGAGTAGTCAGCCAAAACTCAAAAGGGGGGGGGGGATAACTGCGGGTCTTAAAAACTGGGATGGACAACAAAAGTCTCTGGTTGTCTATCCCCATTTTTTTAGGTCAGTGAGCTGCAGCCCTGCACTGAAAGAGGGGGGGGGGGGGTCCATCAGGGCTAGCCAAAGAATACAGGAGCAATACAGTAAGTGGATAAATAATGAATTTATAAAATTTCAAATATATTTTCAACTTTTAATAAATGAGTGTCATGATTGTACCACTACAGAACCTCTCATATCTGATAGCTTTTATGAGTATAATTTTAAAATATAATTTTTAATATTAGTTTAAAAAAAGAAAGAAAAAAAACAGGTCCAAACCTCCTCCTCCATTCTAGATCAGTTTGACTGGCAAATGATAAATACCTAATCTGATACCCCTGCATGACTTGTCATAATGAATGATACAATTCAAGGGGAGTAACTCTACATTGCTGTCTAATTAAAGGACCACAACTGTTGATGTTTCTGGTGACACAGTACAGCTTGACAGAATCTGGATCATTAGTTGACATCGTACTGTCTGTAAGTTTTGTATTGATTTCAGGTATATTGACCCTAATTTATAGACGTCACTTATCACCTGTGTGTTGCAACCTTGGACTTGTGTCAAAGGAGTAAAAACACAAAAGCTAATTTGCATGTGGTATGTGATAAAATAAGCTTCATTTGAGGGTTACACAGTATTGGAACATGTTAATAACCCTGTATCAGGCAGGTATTGACCACTGTTTATGTTTGTGGTTTAAATTTTCTGCCAAGAAATGTCATTATAGTAAAGCTCATTGATAAATACCGTCACAGGTGACTGATTCTGAATTAATGAGCTACACCTGATGAATTTCAACTGTCCTGAATGCCACACTTCTACCTGGATATAAAATGCGCCAAAATTTTAGACTCAGCTGATGAAAATTAAAAAAAAAAAGATAGTGAACTGTTTATAAAAGCTGTGCTTAAGGTGGCTGGTGCCAAAGTGAAGGAGGCCTGAAGAGTTACTTCAGTTACTTCCTGTTTATGAACCCTGACCTACAAACAAGTTCTCAGTGGGTTAAGGGGCTGTGAATTCTCAGGGACAGAGGGGTGAGAGACTGGGAGGTGCCGTGGCAAGGTGAGATATAAATAGACAGGTCTGGTTGACAGAGTCAGCGAGAGTTCTGTGACACACATATCTGTCAATACTGTGTTATACAATGTTGATGTTTTGTAAAATCCGATTATCTATGGAAGTCTGTTTTGTATAGGATTATCGTGTTATCAGGTGTTTATAGAGTGTACAATCTCACACTGGATTATAACTTTGTAAACACTTGAAAATCAAAGAGAAAACAGTACTATATCAAGAAAGAACATTCTAGTATTTGCTGCAGACTACTTTTTGACATATAAGTATCACAACCTGCAAATAATGGACCTCATTCAAAACAAATATGCAAGTTATTATTACACAATCAAATATTGATGAAGAAATACTTAATAATTAGAAATGTGTTTATAAAGTTATGGGGGGATGGTTTATTTTTACGATAGCTGTTTACCCTAACTTTTTATTATTTGGCTAAACATGTGCATATAAGATGAAGTAAATACTACAGTGTACACTGAGTGTTATGTAAAGATCACCTTTTTATCAACATTAAAGTTAGCAGTCAAGGACCTGAATTTTTAAATAGAATACTGGTAGCTGTTTACAGTCGCACTGACAGGCCAAGTGGTAATAGGGTGCTTCAGAGTTAAAGGTTGGTGGTTCCTAACTTCAAATCAAATACTTATTTGTATTTTTTTGTGATAATGAATGATTATATTTCACTGGGTTCCAATTTTTGTGGATTTCATGGATATATATTTGATTTCCCTATGAATGAAAAACCTCAAAAAAATTTTATCTATTGGCCTGAGTTATTTGCCCCTGAAGTTATGTCTCAATGGAACCTAAGTGTAAAATTTACTAGGCAGTTTGCAAAAATTGGTCTCATAATTATCCATGAATTCTGAAATGATAACTACTGTTGCTGTTCAAGTGTAGGTGTTAGATAGCATAAAAAAAAGAACTAGTATGCAGCAAATTTAAACGTTATAAGTTCAGCAGGTCAAAACTGGAGGGACTTGATAGCCTCTCATTTGTAATTCTGACCTCATCCTCCTGTTTTAATTCTGTATCAAACCTTGACGAGTCCATTCATTTTGTTCATGTCAGAATGGAAAGTGTAGAGCGGTTTATGATATTGACTACAAATTAACTGAGTTTGGCCTTGTCAGTTTAAATTCCTACAAAGGATGAGAGGTTGTGGATAAAAATTTGATGAATTGCCTATTAATAATCATGTTATACCTTCCCAAGGGGCTGTTCACTTGTTAAATTTGGGCTGGAGATGAAGAAAAAGAGATGCAATGCCTGTAACAGATTTCATTTGCCAAAGCATTGAGAATGTGTTTTTATAGGAACTAAATTGCTGATGGTTGAACATTATAATGAAGCTGGAATGCTTAAAAGTTAATACGAATATCTTCAGTTTTGGGTCAGTCTCCAGGGATTCAGTCAAACCTCTGGAACAGTGGGGAACTCTGATTTACAACATTTAGAGATATTCTCGAGTCAGAGTAAGATTCACAATCACTGTAAGGTCAGGATATTTAATTGACTCGCTTTGATTTATCCCGAATTTTCTACACATCCATGTAAATGTAATAGTAAAGTTCAATTGTTTGTGAGCAGAATCCAAATGTATGTAATTTCCCAATCATGACAAGGAGCACACGGTGGGTGTGACTGGTTGGCAGGGGATGCTCACTCCTCCATGGCACCTGATCCCATCTCTGATGTTTTAGAGGTCCGTGTTTGCTCTGCTCCAAAATTTATATTGTTTAATGGACTTTTGAGCTTGAATACTGTTAGTCATCTAAATGTATTTCATGTTCCCACAGTAAGTAATACAGCAGCATTACAAACTTGTACCTGGTTACCTGCCCTTTAGACTTTTGTTCTCTGTGTATACCACACACTGCCATCCTGAGTTACTTCACTCAGCCTCGGGGCCCCCTCCTAAACGTTGCTGTGTAATGGAGAGCACCTTGGCCTAGCTGATCAGGCTCCTGATAAAGCAGTCATCAATAGCCAGCTATTACAGGTAGAAGATTAACTAGGTAGAAATTACAATTTGACTGTCCATCTCAATTTTTAAGGAATGTTTATTTCCTCTGTAATTGACTTGAGTCTTGCGGGACATTTTATGTATCATCATGCCTGTGAACGTAAACTCTAGTTTTCTGCATGGATGGATTGCTTTATAATGACAACAAATTTTGGACATGCTATATACTGTGATTATCATAAAGCCTGGAAAATAGGAATGTTGAAAAGGAATTTTTCACACTGTTGAAGCGAGTTAAAAATTTTTCCTTTGCAAAACCTGTCCCATTGTTGGTGAAATATGAAACACACTTCTAAATATTTGAAAGGACAATCTTAAGGCAAGTGCTAATGGTAAATATATAATGTACAAATACGATCTGAACTGACATATCTATAGATGACATATGGATTAACTTGTGTCATTGCTTCTATAATAGGTTCAGGTTAACCAACAACCATTGTAGATTTACAAAACCAACCGTCAGAAGATGAGAAATTACTGTGGTTTGCCTAGCTAGCATGAGCCATATTGTTTGGATGTCACCAAAAAAAAAAAAACACTTTAAACATTAAACGTAAAATGACCCCCCCCCCCCCCAAAAAAAAATGTTTTGTCCTAAATGCATTAATGACATAATAAAACCTTTGACCAGGTGCTACATTGAAAATTTTTGCAAAATATTTAACAGATAATTTACATGCATTTGAGCAATTTTAGAGGAATTTTACATATCACTTACATTCATTATTTTCCCTCCATACTCGTAATTCCCTTAATTTGAGTAAATTATGATTGTCATTAATAACAGTTTACACACGATTTAGAGGTATTTTTATGGTTTATTGAACAAAATGTGTCCAAGTTACAATTCTGTATTTCCTTAACGTGCTTCCATGTCTTTTGAGTTACATGGGGAAATGTTTCATTCTAGTAGTACTCGTTAGTACTCTTATAAGACGGAACTGTTTATAGCATGTTGAACATTTGTCTATATTTGTAACCTTTTGTGTTGTGGAATGGCTTTCTTAGACTATGTGTTAACAATATAAGGAAGGTTTTTACAAGAATAACAGCTTTTGAGTTTGAAAGTATTTCCTGTAAACTCTAAAAAAGAGTACTGTGCCTTTTTGGGAAAGGGATACATGTATTGGAGTGTTGAACAACAGATTGATAAATATAGAACTCTGTATTTAGTACTATAAACAGTACTGATGTAAGTACAGTAAACCGTATTCAACTCTGATGGGCAACTAAAAGACTTGCAGTGAGCAATTATTTTTCAACGACCTGGACTGATATTTTTTTTTTACTGTAATTTCTTTTAGTGTGTACAATGTCATTTTGAAAAAAAAGGTACTTGGAGGCTCCAAGAGTCTCAATACACTTTTCTTTAAAAATGAACTAATGATTTATAAATGTTTCCTTCAGCACAGAGATTTTCTCTTGATCAATTTTTTCTTTGTTTTTCAGAGCACAACTGCAGTTCCAGATAAACTGATGACAGATATGCAGACAGTGGAGAGACCAAAACTTACAGGTACTAAAGCAGGGTAACAGTGAACACTCTTATAATGAATTTACATGTACAACAAAAGTAATTATCATTCCCTATACTTATAAAAGGTATTAATATGAAGTTATTAGATAGGATGAATTATATTCACTTTGCTATAAGCATGTTTTACTGTATCATTCAACAACTAAGTCATAAAACCTCAAACTAGAAACTGAGATAGTCAATCAGCCCCCCCCCCCCCCCCAAAAAAAAAAAAAACCTCCAGCTAGAAAGTGAGAAAGTCATTAAGGCTCCCAAAACCACCAGCAAGAAACTCAGAGGTCCTTAAAGTAATTAAGACCCCAAAGCCTCCAGCTATATGAGAAAGTATAATTAAGGCCTCCAAAACCTCCAGCTAGAAACTGAGATAGTAATTAAGGCCCCCAAAACCTCCTGACCAGGTTGATTAGCTGTGAAAGTCATGTAGGCACCCACATCTCCAGATACTGGGTAATTTGAAAAATCATAAATTACCCATACACTTCAAAAGTTATTTGCCATTAAGGCTCTTAAGTATTGTATAAAGTTTATTTAGGTCATAAAGTTTTTGAGTTACATTTACTTTGTATATGATTCTCCAAATGATGTTGTGCCTTTAATGTAGCTGCATGTATTCTAAATTTATATGCATGTCTTTGGGAATTTTGTGTGCATGCTTGTTGTTTTGGGCTGTTGAAAGGTGACACCACCCCAGAAACTCCACTCCCGGACTACGAGGATGATACAGAAGACGTAGAACTCCGCCAGAAGCATTTTAGATTTGTTCGACAGTTCAGCAATGTTATCAGCAGCATTATTTCCATAGGTACCAAGTGCAGTGTGCTGTCTTTTGTCAAGCACTAAACTAGCACTTAGTAGAAGCACCTAGAATAAGCATAACTCTGACAGTTTGACAGTTCTTTTGCTATCTTCTACTTCAATAATATTAAAAATCATTTGCATACTATAAAACTAAATATGTCGTACAATGTATTCAATTATTCTTAACCCATTGATACATGTTTTCGTAATATTTCACTGAAATCTGGTTGGTGTCTGTAAGGCCTAACAGTTAATCTTGAGCTATCCTGCTGACAAACAGACAGACAAATAAACAGAAAGTTACACAGCCCAACATACAGATAAATAAACTGACAGACAGACAGACAAATAAACAGACAGTTACACAGCCCAACATACAGATAAATAAACTGACAGACAGACAGACAAATAAACAGACAGTTACACAGACCAACATACAGATAAATAAACTGACAAACAGACAGACAGATAAACAGACAGACAGACAAAATAGGATGAAGATGCCAGCTCTTCTAATCTTATTGGTGGATGGTGTAAACACTTATAATTAATTGGTATTTGGTTTGAAAATTGAAATATATCTATATTTACTGACATTTTGTGGTTTAACTGTGACTAAACCACTAATCAATACTACTAATTTGCTAGAACCATTGCTGAATGCTTCAGCTTGTGTGCTGTCTTTACAATAAATCTTCCTTGATGTCACCCTTCATGTTTGGTTCATGAGCAACTTGATTTTGTTTTTATATTATGTAACTTGTATATTTTCAAAGTATCACCCTTCATCAAGAGATTCATATGGTGTATCTACGCAGTTAATGTAGGACATTGGTACTCTGTTATCAAATATTTGACTGATTGAACCATTGTATAGGAGGTCTGAGTGCTGGGTATAGGCATGTAGTATCAAGGAGGGGGGGCACTCCCCCCTCCCCAATTTTTTTCCAAACATGACGTTTAACTGTTAATTTAGTTTAAAAATGTTCATTTGAAAAGTCTTCCTCATTTTTTTTTTTTTTTGAATAAAGCAAAATCCTCCCGTTATATTTCCCAGAAAGGTTTGTCCTTATCCCCTCCCTCCCAAACAACATTGAAATAGGAATGGATTTTCCAGTCTATACACCTTTCCCATTTTATCTCACCTGAGCCGAAGGCTGAGCTTTTCTGTTCAAAATTTGTCCGTTGTCTGTCATTGTCATCGTTGGTGTTGTTGTTGTAAACT